GTACATGTTAATGTAAGCGGCCTGCCTTAGGCTTTTCACTACTTCGTCGAGGTTAGGCTCGACACTTACAAAGTACATGGGGTCGGTTGTACTCATACTATACTCTGCACTTCTTGTGCAGATACCGGAGTTGGTCCCAGTGACGTACTGTAGATTTGCTCGGATTCAACTATCAGATGAGACTTGAGGTATAGTTGCACAACGTTCGCAACTCTGAAGTCCCATTCCACTTTATTTTACCTGTGTGCTTTCTCTCAGATAGCTTTATTTTTATTCAGACCCTTGTTTGTATTACTCTAGAAGCTCGTGCACTTGTGACTTCAGTTCTGGGATGGCATTTAGACATCGTTATCATTTTGGTTTGCTTACTTTAATTCAGACATTATTCCAGTTGTTTGGTTTCTTTACTATTTAATTAAGATGAATTGTTAAAAATGGTTAAAATTTATTCTAACGTTGGTTTGCCTAACAAGTGAAATGTTAGGTACCATCGCGGTCCCGAAGGTGGAAATTTCGGGTCGTGACACTAATTTTAAAGCTACCACTTGGCTTAAGTAGATGACATATATATAGTATTGCATAAAATGAAATAACTAGTTGTTGAGGTCCAATAAATCCGGGACCTAGCTAGTATTTTTAAAAACAATTTACATGTATAGTCACCTTTAAAAATAATAACCGAAAAGTATATAATTTTTATATATTACTAATATATATAATGTATATAAAATATATTTTTTATACATAATTAATATATTTTTTTTGTATATTTAACTAATAATTATAATTATTTTCGATCGACCGGCCAAATATGTTAAAAGCCTTTTTTTAAATTTCCTGTAGGGGAATATCAGCTGGATCGAATCGAAAATTTTCGCTCAACAGCAAACGGGTAACGCGATCTTTGCAAAACCGCCACCTCAGAGTCAACTTAATCCATCAACCTTCCTTCACGCACCCCTATGCAAAAAGATCATATCTTACTCAACGTGTATTACTATTACTGCTTTTTGTCTCCTTCAGTGGGTCCCGCTACATAGCTTCTCTACAAGTAATGTCCTAAAAATCACCTATCAAACCAGAAGAAGAAAACTTTAAAATCTGAATAATAATAAAGGAATAATTGCATTTTTATCCTTCAATTTATTAGTAACTTTTTATTTTGGTCCTTATAATATTTTACGAAGCATATTTAATCTTGGTTTAATTAAAATGTGTGTTTTTAGTCTCATACCTAACATATTACAATAACAACCCAGTAAAATCCCATAAGTGAGTTCTGGGGAGGGTAGTGTGTACGCAGATCTTACCCCTATCCGATGGATAGAGAGGTTGTTTCCGAAAGACCCTCGGCTCAAGACGACGAAAACAAACATTATATCAATACCATCAACAGAAAAATCAAGAAATAATTACAGCAACATAAAAATCAGAAAATAAATAAAAAGCAATAACAATAACTAGTAAATAAAGCCCATTACAATGAAAACGGAGAATAGTGTGAACACAACATTAACCACTAGCAGTCGGAGACACAACCCTATCAGACTAGCCTCAACCACCTCCTAACTTGCATCCCTAATGCGCGACCTCCACACCTTCCTATCAAGGGCCGTGTCGTCGAAAATCTGAAGCCACGCCATGTCCTGTCTAATCACCTCTCCCCAATACTTCTTAGACCGCCCTTTACCTCTTCTCGTACCCGCCCAAACCAACCGCTCTTACTTCTTAACTAGGGCATCCAGACTTGTCCTCCGTACGTGCCCGAACCATTTAAACCTCGCTTCCTGCATCTTTGCATCCATATGAGCCACACCTACTTGCTAATACCTAACATATTGTATTAGATTATTTTAGATCTATATTACCCTAAAATATAAAGTAACAATACAAACTCAAAATAATACACATATAGTTAAATAATTTAACAATTAATAGTATGTTAATTTTGTCAAGATTCACAAGAAGAAGGTTAAAAGTACACCTACCAATTAAATTTAGGAGATATGACACTGTATAGCCACTTATATATATATATATATANTCTGGCGCGGGCTAAAAGTGAAAAAATCTCATTAATTTAAGGTTGATGTGATTTTACTTAATATGATAAGGATCAAATCAAAACTTGTTATTATGTCAGGGTATAAAAGTGCATACTATCCAAATTTGAAGGGCCTTTGATGTGGTACAAACTACAAAGGAAGGATTTAAGACATTACTTATCAAAAAGGGTAAAATGGTAAAAGGAGCAATAGAATTGGCACAGCGCCACAGCCCCACGTTAATTGAATTATCCTGTAATCTCTTTTTTTAAGGCTAAGGAAAATAGGAAATAGGCCTTTGGGTTGTGTTTGGTCCTTAGAATTCGTACGAAAAATTGGGAAATGGGAAGGGCGTTTGTGTATGTAATATTGGGTGGTGGAGTTGCAGCTGGTTACGCAGCTCATGAATTTGTTAAACGAGGTGTCTCTCATGGTGAACTCTGCATCATCTCTGAAGAACCTGTAATTTCTACTTTTTTCACTTTCTTCATTCATTTTCTTCAGTTCTATTTTATTATTATTATTATCTTGTTTTGACTGTTAAATGTTAAAATTGGCTACTTTTTCTTATTCAAGCTCAGTTTTAGTTCCAATTTATTTGCAGTATTTTAAAAAATTTAACTTTTTTTTGTCTTCTTCTTCTGAATTGTGACCAATTTGTGTTATTTTCCATATCTGAGCTGAATAATGTTGATGGAAATTATATGTTTGCAGTAGCTAATATTTTGGTCTAGAATAACTGATGACATAGAATATACCTGAGGATACTTAAAAATAGTATCTTTGGTTAGAATTTTCATTAATTCTAACTTTTGGGTTATAAGGAGATGTGAATAACAAGTATTTTTCCCAAGCCTCTGTTTATTAGCTTTTAGAAAATTTTAGGAGGAAGGGGGTGGCTATTTGATTTGCTAGGGGGAATAGCGAAAAGCTGTTCTGATTCCAATAACAATGTCACATGATAAAAATGCTAACAATGTGTGGATCTGCTATTGACTTTTTTAGTACACGGTGCATACTGCCTACTTGAAGCTATGCCGGAATGATTATCTCTTTATTCTGTTCCTCCCTCTCCTCGTTCCCCTTTTTTCAAGGATTCATTCTGTAGGAGCAAAACATGCATATAAATAAGCTATTTATTGTTCTAATTCCATATTCTGTTGTCCCCATCCAATTTAATGTCATTAGACAAAACGAAGACCATTGCTTCGAGTGATCTGCCCCTTTCATTTATCATGAAATCTTACCTTCCGTGATTAAACAAAATAAGACCAAAATTGATCAGATGCTTCCTTATGGAGACAATCATTCAATGGATGGTAACACATTATGGCTCTCTCTTGTTGGAGCTTCCATATTTTTCCTACGTCATCTTCTAAACTTCTGCTGCTTTTTTCAGGTTGCTCCTTATGAACGACCTGCATTAAGCAAGGGTTATTTACTACCAGAAGGTACATCTTAGTCACCTCATCTCTGTTCAGATTTTATCTTAAATTTCTTCCAAGCTGATGATCATGCTTTCTCTAGATTCAAAGAAAAGTTTGCTTGTGCATTCTGTCTTTGATTTTGGCAACATCCTCCAATCATTAGTAGTGGGAATCCTCCCTGGATCTAGCTACTGTTAAGCTAGACATGATACCACGGGAAATTGGTGTATTCAAGAGTTTGTGGTGGGGAGGATGGTAAGAGTTGGGAGGATTTCCTGAAGGAAACATGAAATGCACATTTATTACGGCAAATAGCACGGTTCACATTTAATACAGTTAATAGCATGTAGCCATCTTTTCCAATATTTTGAAGCTCCTTGTTTGCAATTTTCATTTAGCAGTTTTATGTTTCTTTGACTCCTATCTTGCTGGGTGTTATCATGGACATCTTGTTATATTGGAAGCATGTAAGATTAATTGTAGTGTCCTGATTACACTAGTTACAAACGAACTGGTGCTATCTTTACAGTCACTTAACCTGTTATTTGGATGAGTTGTTTCTGCAGTTTCTTTTTTTCTCTTCTCTCCTATATGCTTTTGTTTATACTTGTTGAGATTTTATTCTATGCAGATCCTGCACGTCTGCCTGCTTTTCATTGTTGTGTCGGTACGAATGAGGAAAGGTTGACCCCGAAGTGGTACAAGGAACATGGTAATTTTTTAAGATCTTTTGCTGCCTTAACTTTTAATATTAATGTTTTAGTAGGCATCTATACATCATCAATTTGAATTTATGGTGTCATAGATATGTGTAAAAGTGTCCAAAGTGATCACATCCCATTGCAGCTACTGACTGCCTTGAGCTTATAAAGGGCTATTGAATTACTTGCATAGAGCTATAGAATCACACTACGTGTTATTCTATTGTAGTTAATGTAGCAGCATAACTTTGTTATTGGTGTTTGGTTAAGGGTCGAAATCCCCAGAAGCGTTCACATAACTTTGATTACTTGCCCATGCAACTCATCTAAAAAAATGTGATAAGGATCACAAACTAAGAGCTTAAGCAGACTGTACCAACTAGTTTAACTCATCAGATGTGGATGTCTTCAGAGCTACGTTTGATGTTTTTTAGGACTTCCTATTTAGAGGATTTCCGTTTCGTACAGATGATGTGATTAGTGATTTGTCTTTGCATTCAGAAGTTCATCTTTGCATGGCGTAGTGGAAACCTTGTTATATAAGAAGAACATGAACTATTTCCTGATAAACTGGAATAAATGGTGGAACCAAGAGAGTTGAAATATCTCAATATATTTTATCTTTACCACACGCTTTGAAAGATTAGAATCAGGGCAGAAGATTTTGGGAGTGACATTCTTGCTTTTCTAGAGCTGAAATTAGTCTGCTTTTACAGCAGCAATACTGATTTTGAGGCACTAAAAAAAAGCTTCAATAACTGTAAACATCACGAGGCTGTAAATCTGTTTTCATGGAATGCTCTAGCTTCGGATGGCAATGAGGAAAAAACTGCTGGCAACTGGTGTCAGTGATTAGAATATGTAATTATTTTAAGCTATTACTTTTAGTTCTAATGATAATTTTCAGTGCGAAGGAATGGGGATATCTTCCTTAGGATATTGATAACTCGTTCATTGTGCTATTCCCTTTAGGCATTGAATTGGTCCTTGGAACTCGTGTAAAATCAGCTGACGTGAGACGGAAGACACTGTTGACTGCAACTGGTGAGACCATAACCTACAAGATTCTCATAGTGGCAACTGGTGCTCGGGTATCTAATTTATCCTTGGTCTTTTCTATTGTAGCACCATATTTTGTTGTATATTATCATGCATTAAAGTATTAGAGCAGTGTGATCTTCTGATGGAGTGAACAAGGACTAGTAGCTTGTTTTAAGTGATCTGTAGAGAGGTCAGTGGATTTTGACCAAACGTGACAGGCAATTGTGCTGCACTTATTAAAAGAATAATGAAAATTCTGCTTTATAGCAGTGCCTTGCTTCTGCATTATCTTGTGCATGTGATTTTAAAAGTAAACATATACAAGCGAACATATTATTTGGTACATCAGCCTCTGGAGGTACATTCTTTTTCTTCACGTCTTGAGAAGAATGTCAAGAATCAGTAGCATGAAATTTGAATACAACATTTTGATATGTGTCCTGTGCCTCCACTCTGTTGCAGAAACTAGGTGTCAGGCTTCTTAGCATAGATGTTAGGCTTCATGGACATTCAGATGTGTAGATTTCTTTTAGTTCAGCATTGAGAGTTTGAAACAGAATTGGATTAATGAGTGAGCTTTGGAGGTTCATGCCAAAGGCTTTCTTTGGTATGGACAAAGTTCAACCTCGAAGACCAAGTCCCTAGCGGACAATGAAGGAAGAAATATATAAAGGCTCTGACTTTTCTTATCAAAAAAAAAAAAAGGCTCTGACTTTTTGTTGGCATGTACTGTTAGGCTTTGAAGCTTGAAGAGTTTGGAGTGAGTGGATCAGATGCTGATGGTGTATGTTATTTACGAGATTTGGCTGATGCAAACAGGCTGGTTAATGTGATGCAATCCAGCAGTGGTGGGAATGCTGTTGTAATTGGTGGTGGCTACATAGGAATGGAATGTGCTGCTTCTTTGGTGATCAGCAACATAAATGTTACCATGGTCTTTCCAGAAGCACATTGTAGTAAGTATTCTTTTGTGAAGATGGAAAACTTTCTTCTCTGTTTCTTACTCGAGTTTCTTTATGTTGCTTGTAAATGATATCAGACGTCAAAACTGCTTTTTCCCTCTCCTAAGAATAATTCATTAGTATAACTTTATTTTTGATAAGGAACATTAGTATAATTTTATTAGTTGCATTTCATCCAGAAAGTAGAAATGGCTATTTTAAATCTATCACGCGTCGTACTCTCCAAACCATGCTATTAGTAGATAAAGAAACAGTGATCCCAGTAATCAATAAATGATTTAAAGATGTGAAAATTGTACAAAATGTGGGACTTCCACCCACATATTTCCTCAAAACATGAAATCAGATATTGAGAGCTTATGTTTTCTTTCTCGTAATTCTTAAATCCTAAGGTCCACCAGTAAGTTATAGTTATAAACCACAAATGTGCATCCATTTTGCTATTCTATCTTAAGTTCATCAGCAGCAAACTGGTGTTTTTTCTATTATTTATGTAAAGCGTTTGATTTTCGTTCCTTTTCTTTTATTGCTAGTGGCCCGCCTATTTACTCCTAAGATTGCAAGTTACTACGAAGAATTTTACAAGTCAAAAGGAGTTCAGTTTGTCAAGGGAACGGTCTTGACATCATTTGATTTTGACTCTGATCAGAAGGTAAAGCCTGTTGCTTGCTTTACTTAGTCGGTGTTTGTTTGAAAAGCTTTCCGAGTAAGTGTTTGTTGGACCTGCTTTGGCATTTACTTATTTTTGAAGATTTCCAACCTCAATTTGACTAGTTACTTTGTTAATGCAAACTCAGTTTATTAGTTCTTGAAAAAAGTTTTTGTTTGATCCTCTTTTGCAAAATATAAGGTTAAACTTCTACTGAAGATTTCCAAACTCAGTCTGACTAGTCACTTTGTTAAGCTGGAACAAACATTCATCAACGTTGACCAGCTGTTGCATTTCCCAATTATATATATCACTGAAGTTATACTGAGCATGATGCTTAAATGCGTGAACTTGTTATGCAGGTCACTGCAGTGAATCTGAGAGATGGAACCAAGCTACCTGCTGACATGGTCATAGTTGGCATCGGAATCCGACCAAATACCAGCCTTTTTGAAGGGCAACTTACTCTCGAGAAAGGAGGGATAAAAGTCAATGGCCGAATGCAATCAAGCAACAGCTCAGTCTATGCTGTTGGGGATGTTGCTACTTTTCCTGTCAAAATTTTCAGTGAAACACGGAGACTTGAGCATGTTGATTCTGCAAGGAAGGCGGCAAGGCATGCAGTAGCTGCTATCATAGAACCAGAGAAAACAACCGAGTTTGACTACTTGCCATTCTTTTACTCCAGAGTGTTTACACTCTCTTGGCAGTTCTATGGAGACAATACTGGTGATGTAGTCCATTTTGGAGATTTCTCTGGAAATCGCTTCGGGGCATACTGGGTGAACAAGGGTCAAGTTGTTGGGTCTTTTCTAGAGGGTGGAACGAAAGAGGAGTATGAGGCTATTGCAAAGATCACAAGGCTCAAACCAGCAATTGAGGACTTGGCTGATCTTGAAAAACAAGGGTTAGGATTTGCTTTGACATTGAGTCGTATACCAGAGCCATCGGAGGAGGCTGTTGTTGTCAGCAGTGGTTCGGGTTCCACTCTTGTAATGGAGAAACCTTTACATGCTTGGCATGCAACAGCTGGAGTCATATTGGCTGCATCAATTGCTGCATTTGCATACTGGTATGGTCGGAGGCGTAGAAGGTGGTAAATGTCTTGTTCAAGAAGCATTTCCAGCGTGGAAGATTTTTACACGATGATTCCAGCTTTGTTGTATCATTTTAGCTTAGAGAATTCGAAATACTTAGCCTGAGAATGGCTTCAATACCGATCTTACAAACATGTATTCTGTCTTTACAGTATATATTAATACACATTTTCTCCTCAATTTCTCATCATGCTCTGTTGTGTTCATATTGCTTATGTTTAACAGTGGTACAGATAATAGGAGAAAAAGACTGTTAATGGTAGATGCTGTTGGAGAATTGGAACTTCCATTAGAAACTTACTCCATGAATTCATGCATCTTTTTTGAAGGCTACATATCAGGCATTTTGAATGCTAAATATCATGCTTAAAAGGTACATTCAAGTTTGAAGACAAAAATACTTAAACGTGTAATTCTCATCATGTTGTAACCTCGTTTTGAATACAATGCTATTCGCAAAATGGCAGATGTTTCCATCTAAAATAATGGACGAATTTTGGTAAAAGTAATATAGTGAGGTTACTAAAAATGAGAATTTAATCTAATGAACAATTTGTACTTCATTTACTCTTTATATTAACTTAGTACACGAATCCCAAAGCAGGGCATTTGGTCTAGTGGTATGATTCTCGCTTTGGGTGCGAGAGGTCCCGAGTTCGATTCTCGGAATGCCCCTTATTTTATATTATTTTTCTTTACAGAACCTCCATGTGAATCAGAAAAGTTAAAAGATAATTTGTGTAAGAGAAAAGAAACATTGTAACAAGATTGCATTAATCAAACATAATCATTTTAACAAGCATCCAAATGGCCAAGGATCATCAATTAGTTAACAAACGATTGATGTTTAAGTGAAAAGAAGGCTAATGAACTAGGAGTTTACTTGTACACTTGGGTTCTTGCGACATACTTCTCATTTAATAGGTGCATTCCGTCATAAATTTTATATATGAGAGTTTTTAATTAGTAAACTCTTAATTTAGGATTTAACTAGCGTCCAACTTTAGAAGTAATTCACCACAAAGCTTGTTATACTCCCCTCTTGTTCAAGATTAGAAAAAGATAATCTTTTCAGCATATTCATTTAAATCTTCATCTAAATTGTCTCTCTATATGAAAAAAAATATTGGCCCAAAATATATGTATTTAATTTCTTTTTGAAAATTTCTTTATAAATTTATTTGAATAATAATTGGGACCCAAAAAAAAAAAAAAAAAA